GGGTTGTTGGCCCGCCCCGCCCCCCCCCGGCCCCGGGCCCGCCGCCAGCCTGTGCTGTGTTGTCGGGCCGCCCCCCCCCCCTGCCAAACCACGGAGGGCACGCCGTCACGGCAGCTGGGAGACAGCGGTAAGTGGAGGTGGCACGAAAAAAAAAGCGTTTTGAGATCTATTGTGTCAACGGCTCAATCATAGATGTGGAATTGCAGATGCTGATAAACAGTAGTAAAAACCAGATAATGTCCTGTTTTCCTCCTTACCCTCTTCATACTTATTTTGTCTTTGCCCATCCAATTTTATACTGCCTTTACTAGAACTATTCCTGATTTATGCTGGTGTTAAGAGGTGCGTTGGTCCCACATCTCTATGTCTTCATAGGAACAGATAACAAAAAATGATCATCAGAAACCAGAACGTTAATTACATAGTCATGGCCACATAAGGCGATTCAAATTACAAGGCATACATATTTAAAAAGCCAAATTTAGCAACACACAATCAAGATTTCCTTCCTCTGCCCACTCTCAAAAGCCAATATTTAGGTGTATTAAATTAATTTAACTTAAATACTTCTTGATTTCTGAGAGTGCCCTAAAGATAAATGCTATGTCAAAGGATTCATTTAAGAGGAAAAATGAAATCAATGTACAGCATTTATTTACTCAAATAAGATTTAGTAGTGAGGTTTTTTAAAGATAAGCAGTAGGTATTATTTTAAACAAATCATTAATCTTGGCAAATAAATTGTACATCATAATTTTTTTAGCAAGCTTGCTCGTGGATCTGCCAGACAGTATTAACTAGCATGAGACAGGGCACTGTCCAGAAGCTCATAGTCTTTAAAACCCGGCTCCTTCCTCTGGAATGCTCTAGGGGGGAAAAAAATCCCATTAACTAATGTCTTGTACAAATATCTTCCACTAATATGTAGGCTTTGAGTAGCGATGCTGTCCAAAACATGAGAAAAGGATATTTCAGGCTGGATAGACGATAGAAAATCTTTCCTGTTTTGTCCGAACTTGGAAAATTGCTTCTTTCCCCTCCCTCTGCGCCCCATGAAGTGCTGAGACCAGGCTGTAAGCATCACACAAAACGTGTTCAATTAAATCAATACTGTGCACTGTGTTTAAATTTGAGTCTTGGACTAGTTCTTAGAAATAGCATTTATCTTTACCACATTCTCAAAAAAAACTTGATAACAAATCTCATAGGAAAAAAGATGTGCTCCTTAAATTAGCTATAGCAGCAACTATTCCTTAAATTAGCTATAGCAGCAACTACTCTTCTTCCCAGCCGGGGAGAACTGACTCCCTGCTGATGAAAACTTCCAGAACACAACACTGAACAGACTGTCCTTGTGAGTGAGGTGGGTGAAGTGGGATCAAACATATTTTTCTATGCAATATTCATGATTATGTAGAGATTTGTTCGTAAAAGGTATTACAAGAATAATCACAACCCTCCTCACCTGGCTCTGAAAATACAAGGCTCTCTACATTAGCTTTTTTCTTACACATACCAAATACATTTTTTTCCTCTCTTATCTCTCCAATTTTGATTTAGAAAACATTACAAGCTATTTTTAATAGCTAATGCTAAGTGAATGTCTTAACAGCTTTGTGCTGTCATTGTATTTCCAGAGAACAACACACAGGGCTTGGACACGTCTGACTGCACGGCTCCGTACGCTTCCCCTCCAAGGCTGCAGCCGGGACAATCGCTGCCTCCCGCCAGGCTTCTGCAGCGCGTCTGAGAGGCGCCTGTGTTTTGCAGGTGTTGCTGAGTATTGGATGTGAAGGTAACGGTGTTGCCTAGGAGTTATTGAAGGAGCAATGAGGAGATAATGGAATCACACAAGTGCTTTTGGAAATAAAATGGCCCCAAAGAATATTATCGTGGGTGAGAACGCAATAGTGGGAAAGAACAAGCTGACCTATCGAGACTGTTTGCAGAAAAGCAAACACGAAGAAGCAGCACCACAGTTTTGTCCTTAAGCATCGAGTAAGCACATGGGTGAACGAGGGACGGACAGTAAGCGCAGAGCTCCTGCCTGCCACTTTTACTTTCATTTTGAGAAGAACCTTCAATAACAAATCGAGAAGAAATGAATCATCTTCCCTCCCATCACCCTCCCCAGAGCTCTCAGCCTCCAGCGTGGCAGGAACTTTCTGGTGGAGGAACAGCGCCTGAAGCGGGGGGAGGCCCAGAGGAGAGAGAGGGGCTGACACGGAGGGAGATGAAACCATTCAAAAAGGCGCAGGAAAGGTAAAGAGCTCGGAGCAAGTCCATGCCTGACACCACCCAAGTGCAGGTCGCCACCCTGTGCCAACAGTGCGTTTCCTTCCTACTTCCACAAAAGAAGGACCACTCCCCACCCGCTGACTATGAACTCCAGCACCGATACCCCAAGATTTTAAGAGACCCTTTACTTTTCAGACTGGTAGAGCACATAAACATCTCCGTGAATAACGTGTCTGCAGATGGAAGACACTTTGTACACCTGGTTTCGAGAAAGTTCAGTCCATATAGCAGATTAATAACTGTAACTGGGTAATGTCATTTTTAATGGGTTAGGCATTTCCTACTGCCTCTTCTCCTTTCTTCCCCTCTTCTTACCAACAGTCAGTAAAGGGATATTATTTCCTAAATGGCTAAATTCTAACACCCATATTATGGGAAACATAATTATTTGATCCATGGATATTTTATCACATATGTTCATAGAGCTCTTAAAGAATAACATATATCACTTAACTCCTTAGTGAAGCATGGGCAAATGTACTTGGCTTACACTGTAATTGATTTCAATAAAATTTAGGAATTCATCTGGGCTATATGAGAGGTGTACAGCAAACAAGGCCAAAGCTCTGCTTTAAGGAGCTTTTCATGTACGTGGACAAGAGAATAAAAATTCAGGGAACAGGCAGGCAATGGAAGCAATGCTGCCTTGTGTCATTTCTGCAAGACGCAGACAGACAGCCCGTCGCAGTGCCGAGAAACGAACCGTCTTGTTCCGTACACCATTTTTGTCAAGCGCAGGACTGTCTTTCCTTTCTTCGAGCACGTAAGCTGAATCAAACAAGCACGCACAAGGTAAAGGAAAGCAGATGGGTGGCTGAGGGTGAAAATGGATTGTTTAACCAGACTGGGGCAAGTACGACACGTCAGAAGGACAACACAAGCATGTACACACAAAATGGAGATTTATCAGCTATGTAAGTAGCCACACTGTGGAAAGGAGCTCAGGCGTAGGGAAGGGCAGAAATGGGACAGGCTGCTGCGATTACTCCTGATCATCCCATGGATAACATACGAGAGAATTAGGAAGAAATTATTAAGCTATAGCATTCACCTTTGTTTATATGCTGGCTATATTAGTATAGTATTCTATATTATCCTGTCCGTAGTTAAGCCAGGATGACGACCGGTTTACACTGTCCGGTTCTGAATGTCATACAAAATTATTTTTTGTAGTTAAATCAGGTAAGTGCAAGAAAATATAAAAAGACAAAAAAAGATTCTCAAAACCTGATTAGTGGGAAAAAGCCAAAGAAATGGAGTTGTTTAATCTAGAAAGGACATAAATAAAAGGGAATGTGCTATTGGCATTCCAATATGCGAAAGCTGCTTCAATTATTCTCTATTTTGATTGTGGCTTGGCTTAATTTACCGCAAGGGAGAACAGGATTAGATACTTGGAAAAAAGTCTTTCTAGCCATAGGAGTAGTTAACCACTAGAACAGACAAAATAGGGAAGTCTTGGGACAGCATTCCTTGGAGGTTTTCGAAAATAAGGTTAGACAAACATCCAGCAGAGATGATCTGAGTATACTTAATCCTGCGAAGGCAACGGCTGATCTCCTGGGGTCCTTCCCAGCTCCGCATTTGGGTGGTGTCTAAGAGAGAGGTGACAGATGGAGGAGGGAACAGGGTGAGGGCAGGCAGGACCAGTACGGACTTCAGGGCCGGTACGGGAGGAG